AAAAAAAAAAAAAAAAAAAAAAAAAAAAGGCAAAACACCCAGGAGTCAATTATTACAATATCCATTTCATTTGTCAACTCTTCAGGGATCTTCAGAGACACAATTAGTGAAGTAGAAAACTCAACTGAGAGATTTGATTTAAAAAACAGACTTACCCAACTAATTACCAGCTACTCATTTCATGTAAGCTCCTCAGTGTGATTATATATATATACAGTCTGTGTTATACATGAATGGTAACACTCCAGAGTGGACCAGGTGCAGCTTCCAATTTGTAAGATGCTCACCTGAAACTTTCTTCCATGACTTCCAACAAACAAAAATGTGATTTGACTTTTTTCCCCTTGCTTTAAGGTACAACTCAAACTCCATTACTCAGTGTAGCTTGCCTTGGCCCCTTAAGTCAATGAATTTCTCTTTTATTTCTTTTTTCACAGCAAGTCCTTAGGGCCTCTGTTTAGCACTCGATATTCTGTACATTATAGTGAGTTGTTGGTAGGTGAATATTTCCCACTAAATGGACTATTTCAATAAAATCAGCAATCGTGTCATTCATTTCTACAGTCCTTCTGGAATTAAAGTCCTATTCTGGAATTAAAGTCCAGAACTGGGTTCAAAACAAAACAAACACAAAGCCTTGTACTATCCAAAAGGCACTGATTTGCTTTTACAGCCAAGGGCTACATAACCACTTTTCAGTCAATGATGCACTGTATATATGATGGAGGTTCTGTAAGATTGTAATGGAGCTGAAAAATTCTCATCACCTACAAAGGCTGCAGTTATCCTAATTTTGTAGAACAATACACTAGTCATGCGTTTGTGATGATGCTAGTGTAAGAAAACTTACTGCATTACCAGCTGTAGAAAAGTATAGCACAGACTATTAGGGGCAGCATGTAACCCTTAATAATAAGTGACTAAGGTATTGGTTTGTGTATTTATCATAGTATACCTCTTATTTTAGGATGTATTTACAGGTATGTGCCACCTTGCCCAGTAAGGGTGTATTCATTCTATGCATTAAAAAGTGTACTGTACAAGAGTATGCTGTGTTCCTAAGCAGCAGCAGCACATCCATGTTTAACGGATCTCTTAAACCTATATCATTTTGTCTTGTGCTTGATCTAACCTCAATATAGTTATACACACACACACACACACACACACACATACACACACTATTGTTTCCAGGGCCTTGAGGTTTTGTGTGTGTGTGTGTGTGTGTGTGTGTGTATCTATCTATCTATCTATTACTCTATAATGGTCACACAATAACCAAATCACCTAACAAGGCATCTTTCCAGTGTGTCATGTTGCTAAGTGATAATGCATGGCTGTATTTAGGAAAAGAAGTTTTCAGAAACAAACAAAGTATAACCAAATGATGGAAAATATTTCAGAGGGTAGAAACCATCTCAAGAATAGAGCACTACTTGTAAAATGGATGCTCAACAAAGGTAAAAGTAAGGTTCTAAAACTGTTACTCAACTATTACCATACATCTAGCCCCAAACTAGAGAACATTTTGACTTATTAGGGGATTCTTTTAAAAGTAATTAACAGTGAGGGAATTAAAAATTTTACCCCCCGCAAAAGAATATTTGAATAAAGGTCATTTCTCCTCTTCCATCTTCTTTTTGTTTTTCCAGTGCTGGGGACTGACCCAACAACATGCTAGGCCAGTACTCTGCCACTGAACTATATATACCTTTAATCCCTAAAAGCAATTTTCTAAATGTACTTATAGACTTATGTATTAAAAATCTACATTGTAGACAAAATATTTAATAATAAATCAAATAATAACTCAATGGTAGAGTGCTTGCCTGGAAAATAAGAAGCATGCAGTTTGCTCCCAGTAATATTAAAAATAAAAAGACCAAACCAAAGGGGAAAATACTTTAAACTAAGAATTAACCTGAGTGTTCCATTGTCTGGCCCTGACCATTAATATGGCAATGAAGTTTACTTGCTAGGAACAATAATATTTGAATATCTCTTACCTTCTGGAATATATATTTTTTAATCATCTTCAGGATTAAGTAACCCCAGTAAACATGCAGGGCCTGCAGAAGCAGCAGCTGTAGGTTGAGGAAGATGTATGAGAAGAAAGGCTCGAGGTAGTACAGAGGCATTATCAGCGTACAATGTAAAATCCTGAAAAACCAGATGAAGGAATTTTATTATGGCTAAAGCATTTGTGAATGTTCTACAAGAAAACAAATATTTTTTTCTCCCCACACATACATTTGTTTCATTTCTGTGATGTCCAGGAAATTCTCAATAGAAACAGATATGATATTACCTCTTATATCATGATTAGCAAGCCACAGAATGGTACAATCTGTCTCCTGGGAGGAAAATGAAAGCAAATGACAATTTTATTGCCTACTGCTTACACTAGGGTGTTCTGTACCTCATTTTTATCTTTTCAAACACAGCATATTCACTACCCTACCTAACTCCTGGGGAAGAGCAGGGATAAGGAACAAGTGAAGCAATGGATGTTAACATGGGTTATTACTGCCTTATTCCACAGTCTCATTTATGTATTCACCCCGGAACCTGTAACTTTTCTCTAGTTTTCCCCACAACCCCCAACAACTTCTTTAGCATTCAAGCTGATTTCAGCCTCCCTTGCAGCAACAGCTGCTTACATAAATTAGCTTCTCACTGGCAGGCAGATTTCCAAAGGCCACCACCTATGGTGTAATTCCCTTACCTGGCCTAGAGCCTTACTAGGTCTCCTATTGGGAATCTGTCAATATGAAAACTGACAAAGGAACCTACTCAAAAATCTTTATTTACTAGAGATATGAATTAGTAAACATATAACTGCTCACTGTGATCCATGCAGAGAGAAAGGGACAAGGTTCTGACTGAATTAAGATTTATTTCTCTGCTCCTTCTAGTTGAAGGGAAGGCAGACAGTAGAGTTCCAGCTGAGGAACTCCATCTACAGATGCCCTCTAGTGTGTGGCATTATAGAAAATCCAAACAGCTAAAGAAGCTTTCTTGCAGGCCTTTCTGTTTGACAGCTGTAAAGTTTGTAAAATGCTTAGGGAGTTTTAAGGTAGAAGAGAGGCAGGGAAGGATAGTGTAAGAGGAGGTGGCACAGGTGAATGGAGCCATGTTAGGTAAGGCCTGCAGGGCACAGCTAGGGGCACAGCCTTCAGTTTAAGAACAATGGGAAACCACTGGTTTGGACAGGGCAAAGATCTACTTGACACAGGATTGTACAAACAATGCTCAAGGACTGATGCCACTAACTTCTTGTCTCAAACCTGTGTACATTCTGAGACTTGGTCACCAGCTAAAACTAACCCCGCCCCTCTGACTGGGAGGCTCCAGGGAGACAAACAGCCAGCTTTATAAACCATAGAGCTCTCAAAATTGAAGAGTGTGCCTTAAAGTGCAAATGCCTATGACAGAGGGCACAGAGAAGGGAGTGGGGGCATGGGCTCTGGAGCTTGGAGTGTACATTAGAGTTCTTGCATCTTCAGCAAGTCCCATCGTCTCTCTAGGTTTCAGTTTGTCTCTAAATGAGACCAACACTTCTCACCTCAATGGATCATTATGAGGACTGAATGAGTTGACAAATGGTAAGAGCTTAACATATAGTAAGAACTCAAAAACTGGAATTTAATTAAAACTACCCTTTGTACTACCACTATGACTACTACTCCTAACCTCCCCACTCTTAACTGCATGAGGACTAATAAGCAACCTTAGGGTAGTGCTGCAGAACTGGCTGGACTTTCTGCTTGGTGGGGAGGAGGCAGCCAACTTCACAGAGGGAGGGTAAGCTCCAGAGGAGAGAGGAGTAGGGATTGCCCAGAGGAGTAGAGGAGTATTCTGTGGGAGGATGGAGGACATGGTGCCACTGGCAATGGCAGGTTCCGACAGCACAATTACATTTTCAGGACACCACTAAAGGATAGCCCAATCTCACCATCTACATTTCTTCTTCTCCTCTGCTTCAAAAAGAAATAAAGAAAAAAATAAATGCATCCGTCCTTTCCAGCTTTCTCCCTAATGTGTGCATGCACACGAGCGTGTGTTAACATCCAACACCTGCACACTTTATCATCGGTCACTACCTTACAGAGACTAATAGAATTTTCCGTTTCATAGAGAATGTCAAAAGACTGCCAGCCTCCTAAATTTCTAGAACCATTTGTCTCATGTCTGGATTTACTCTTTCCAAATTGATAAACTACTATTGTGTACTTGGACTGTAAAGTGCAGCTTTTTCTGTTTATGATTTTCTTTCCTACCTATCTTAACTCTTTCAGTCACATGAGTTTGCATGGTTTGAACAAGTCATGGTGTTTCTATAAATAATAGCTGGTTCTGTTGGGGTACATAAGGCAACCATCAAAAGTGTATTTTTCTAATAAAATATTAAAGTTAAAGGGTTTCTTTTGTTCTTAACAATTGTAGGTGTATTAAGTCCTTTTAAGATAACAAATACTGGTTCTACCACTGAGAAACTACCTTAGAGATGTCTCAGATTTCAATATTACATGTTGTTGAAGGCAATTTAATAAATAGCAAGGGTAAATGATGTCAGTTTTACTATCTAGTTTAGTAACTTAATTGGGATGATATTTGTTCTGTGTTTCAAATGTTCTGTTTCTAGTTCTGGTTCTTCCATAACTAAAAAATAGCACAACTTCTCATCTGAAAAATAAACATGGAGTCTAAACACTTCAACAATGTCAATGAATGAAAGACAAAGAAGGAATAAGAAACTGTTTCCCATAAGTGTCAACTACATATGATTCAGAATTTGGGCCAACATCTAAGTGGCAAGGGGAAAAAGCAATAAAAGACATTATTGGATTGAGTGGCAAAACTGGAACACAAGGTAGATTGCTACATTTCCTGTGATCGCATAAGAGAATGTTTTTATTCTCAGGAAATACACACTCAAGTATTTGGAGCACAAGAAACTATTTAGCTGATGTTTATAACTTTCAAATAAATTGTGTGTGTGTGTGTGTGTGTGTGTGTGTGAAGAGAATGACAAAATAAATGTGACAAAATGTCAAAAACTAAAGGCTATGCAGGAATTCTGTTATATACTTGAAATTTTCCTGAAAGCTTAAAATTATTTCTAAACAAATGAAGAGGTTAGACTAAATTATGAATAAGTTCCTTATCCTAAGACTCTGGTGGTTTGAAAAGCGATCACTGAAGCTGTCCTGTGTGAGTGTATTAATAGCACACAAAAGCTACCAAGCGCAGGGGCATGAGCCAGGTGAAAGAGCTCCTCTGGAGGCTTCCTACCACTTGGGACAGTGAGAACGTGTGAATAGTTTACTGTTTCCTTCATCATGTGTGTAAGTGGAAAATCCAGCTCCGAGATTTACATCTGCAGTTGTGGCTCAAGGGAGTGGCTCTAGCGCCAACAGAGCCCTCCTGGAACTGCAGCCCTCCTCCCCTGTTGCTCTGCTGGCAGCAACAAAGACACTAGGCTGACAGTGCTGCCATCAGAGTCATGCTCAGCCCCTGCTTATCATGCAGGGCCCCACACCTTGGGCCTTCTGAGGAAAGAAAACACTCATCTTATTCTCATCTCCCCTAGGAAGGTCAGCTAGGAACCTTGCTGTATTGCTTTTAGCTTTGACTTTAAAATATTCTTTAAAACTTTCTCTTTTCTACCAGCCATTCCAAGATGGTCCCACTGACCATAAAATTCCCTTTCACCTGCGGGTTTCTCAGGGTATCCATTTTCTTATATTAATAATAGCTGGATGACCAGAAACTGAGATATGAAATCCAGTGACCAGTATTGGAGGGAAAAGATGACTACAAACATTAAGTACACTAGGAAGTAAAGAAGCTATGTATCTGAGTATTATTTACAGGCGAAAATGTTTCAGTTTTTTCTTTGGCACATCTGAGAAACACAGGTCAATATTAACAGTCTTCAAATATATGAATAAAGGATGGATACGAAGATTTCTTCTATGGCCGGTATGCACTCCTGGATAGTAAGAACTCTGCCTCCTATTCCTTGTACTCTTTTGCCACATCTAGCTATAGTGAATTCAAGCAAGGAAGCAGTGAGGTACATTTCCACCTGGACACTTTGGCCGTGATGGATATTCAGCTGTATGTTGAAAAACCAGCAAAACAGAGTGCTCCTTCCCTTCCAATTGACAAGTCAGTTCTTGTTACTTATGGAAGACACTGTTAGGAGTCAAAGAAATCATTTACCTGGCCTTAGAAAGAACTTTGTACCCTAATGATCCTCTTGTGCAATTTGTATAATTTAAAAATATATGTTATTACTTAAAAACAATAGTTGGGAGTACAATGTGAAAAATACAAACCTGTGATTTAAATGGTTTTGAATAAAAATACAAATAAATTGGATTACTAGGCAATTAAAGCAATTTGACCAATGCCAATTTGAATTTCTACCTAATGCTAATGAAACAATGTTCAGAAAAACTAATGTTAATTAACTTGTTCTGACAGTAAGAATTACCTAAATAGGATGGTCAGATACAGCAGGAAGAAAGGAAATTGGGGAATGCAATTGCAGAAATACAGAAGGGAAACACAGAGGAACACAAATACTCTGGAGGATGAGGGAAATGAAGACAAATCTAAGAAAAGGAAAGATGAGTATAATATGAAAGCTCCAGTTCTTTTCCCTGTGGCCTCTAGACAAATCTCAACTGTGCACAATCCCAGTTAGCTTTCTCTTACACCGTATCTCCACACAAATGTACAACAAAAGCAATGGGGAAGAAGAAAAAAGCAACTAGATTGCAAATGGTGTGCCACAGCATCTCTAAACTGTCGGAATCCTGAATAGTTTACAGTTACTTCTGTGCAGACTTCCAGTTGTGTCTGTGAAGATGGACAGATACACAGTGCTTGCTCCATGATAATTTCCCAACAAATTCGGACTAAATAAACTATCCTTGATAAATTAATCTACAGGGTTACAGGTTTTGGACAGATGGTTGGAACCAGGCTGATAACAAAAAACTAAATCTTCCTTTCTGGCACCACCAAGAGGATAGCATAATACATTCAAACTGATGCTAAGCCAGAAAAGTACACTGCAATTGAAGGAAGCGCTCTTTCTGACAGATGCACCTTAGCAAACTAGTGATTCTTTTTTCAAAGACCTTTGAAAACTGATCTCCAAACTTCTGTGCCTTAGTGAGGTTTTGCTCAACCTTCTAAACAATTAGAATCTGTTGATATTGGTACAGAAGTATTTTTATCTCTAGCAACAGTCAAGTCTTTTAATATTTTTTTTCCTGAAATCCATCTCCCTAAAGATGGCAATGATCCCTGCTGCCCTATACAGTGGCCTGGTGAACTCAATGTCAATATCAAGAAAATGTCAAATGCATGTAACTAATTTTTCTTGAAATTCAGAAATGCTGGCAGGAGAATGAACTGCTTGTTTGAGATATCACAGGAAAGACAGAGGTGAATGTTCTCCATTGCTAAATCCAAAGACAACCCATGGTGTGTGCTTTAAAAATAATCCGCCAATTCTTTGAAACCGTTCCTACCAAGACAGAGAGTTTAATTTTTCTTTCCTTTGAAAATGGCCAGGGCCTTCAGAATCTAATTCCAATGAAGAACATGAGGTGTGAAGTGACATGATGTGTCTTCTGAGGCTGGGTTAGAGAAGGAGATGCAGTGTCTGCCTCGCTCTCTTCCAGGAGGCTCACACTTGAAATGCAACTGCCACACTTGAAATGTTCTGAGAAGGCCAAGGCCACATGGAGAGGCTATCTGTAGGTATTCCAGCTGATAGTCTCAGTTCAAGTCCCAGACAAAAATCAGTACATCTGGTTTTACATATATTATTTAACCAAGTGACTAGCCACTATCTGACTGCCAGCTACCACCTGATTGTAATCGTGCTAGAGACCCTAAGTGAAACCCATCTAGGTGGGACCAATCACTTCTGAGAACCATGAGAAGTAATAGTAATTGACAAATGATGTTTTAACAGAGGTCTGTGAACTATGGCTTATGGATAAAATCTGGCCTGCAACATGTTTTTGGATAGCTGTGGGGCTAATTATGGCTCAGTACATTTTAAACTGTTATAAAGAAAAATAAAATGAAGAAAAATACACAGCAAATATCATATGTGGCTCTCAAAGCCTAAAACATTTATTCTCTGGCCATGAATGGAAAATTTGCCCACCAACCACTCCCTTAAGCCACCAAGTCGACAGATGGTTTGCTCTGTAGCAACAGAGAACTGAAGTATGTGGTGCCCTTGGTACATGATAAGAGGCACTGCTGGGTAGATGCTGCACTTACAGTGTCATGAAAGTCACACTAAAGAGCTAGATCCAACTGCTATCTACAAGTCAATAGTTGTCTTACAGATAACTGCTATCAAGGGTTGTGGGAATGGCTTAGTAGTAGAGCATTTGCCTAACATGCATGAGTCCTTGGGTTCCATTCCTAGAATAATAATAATGACAATAAGAATAACAATTGCTAGCATACAATAGTAATAGTAAAATTTTATAAATATATCTGCTCAAAGAAAAAAAATGACAGTAATGTGATTTACTAACCACGGAATGTATAAGGTATGTACCTTGGACCTGCATCTAGATTAAACTCTAAATTCTGAGATACTAATAATTTTAATAACAGGTAGAATTCATTGAGTCTTTAATTTTCTAAAACTTTCATATGTCAAGGTTTACTTCCAACTAACAGATGAGAAAATGGAGGCACAGAACAATGCTTTAACTAGCCTGTCCAAAATCACACACAGGTGGTTAAGGTGGAGCCAGGACTTGCAACTAGGCTTGAGTCACATCCATTAACCACTGCGCTGGGCTTCTCTTCTTCAGAAAATGCCTAAACAAGATTCTTTATCTTGGTTTAGGCAAAGCAGCTGGCTTCCAAGTGGAGGACAGCTCCTACTGGCCTCTCTGGCCACACCTCTGCAATGCTAACCAAAGGCACTGTCCATCTACCTAGGAATGAGGCCTAGAGTCAGTCTCCATCTCTCTCCTGGGACCCTAGGATCTTCAATAGTACCAATTCTCTTGTTGAGAGAATCGGAAGTTCCCAGGCCAGCCCTAGGCCACTGTTGGTAAAAGGCTCTTTCTTCCACACCAAAGCGTCCCTACATGTTTAATCTATTTTCTGTCACTCAGCACAAGGGATGAACTTCCCACAAGGGAAGAACTGCCATGGAAGACACAGTATTTATCCCCAGCACATAGCTGAGTAAGCTTAACAGACTGATCAAGAAGCAATGAATGTCAAAACGATATTTAAATCACTGTTAAGATCAGTGGCCATGGAGAGTGAAATAAGATCAGTTCCCCCATCTGTGAAGTGGGAGTGATAGAACCTATCTATAATTTATTATGTAGACTAGAGCCAAGATTTTAAAAGAACTTAATCCAGTGTCTGGCACTCAGCTAATGGCTATAACTGTCATAACACAGAACATGCATTTCTTCTAGAGACCAGGTGACTAGCCAATGGCTTTTCACTGAGTAACTGGATGGAAAAGCTGTTAAAAGAAAGATCCATATTTATGAAACAAGATGTAGAGTAAAAGTTGCTGCTCACCCACTGGGTTACACATTTTCCATTTCCCTTTGTAATAAGCCTCTTCCACACCAGAGGATGTTGCTTTAATTATCTATAAAAATGTAAATTATAAAAATAGCTCATCATATGCTTTTTTTCCAACTACACTTGGCACAAATAACTGAAGATCAATGCAAGGAAAGGAAGGGCAATGCTCTCTGACCATAACAACGTGCCAAGGCTATCTCTGCACATCACTGACCAAAGGTGGGCATGGAACCTTGTACACTTACCAGAAGGGAAAAATAATGAAGCGGGTGATGAAAAATACAACAGTGAAGATTAAAAACAGGATGTTACAGGTTTTCTTCCATCCAGCATATGAAAACATCTTAGCAGACTGAAAACAAAGGAAACTACATTTAGATAAAGTGATAGTAGTATAAACTTTAATCAGTAATAAATGAAATAAGACATCCAAGATTTGCTTCAAAACAATCAGGGGAAGGTGAGGAGTGTGGACGGCATCATGGATTGAACAGATGGGCCATATTGGTAACTATTAAAGCTGGAGAAGTCCAGCATGCCCTGTGTTTGAAATTTTCCATAATACAATGTCTTTAAAAGATATACAATGTTAAAGTGACTGAAATGTGACTAATTTTTCAAAAATACTAGAAGTTAGCACAGTCAATCTTAGCATGCATTTCATTTGGGCATTTATTATCTCCATTCAACTGTGAGAAGCCTGCATTGAAGAAAGGCTGGGATAGGAGGTAAATGTACACAGGGCTGGGAATGCTGCAATCACATTTTGAGGCACATCATGGAAGAGGTGCCAGGGTCTTGGGGCCCTGACCTGGTTGAAATAAAGCTTTAAGCACTTGATTTTCTTCTATTTATTTTATGCTAGGCCACACGGCTCATATTACCTGTGTTACATAAAAAGAATTAGAGAAAAGGAAGTTGAATGTGGTATTGTGAGGTTAATTGTCAAGGATGCTCTACTGCATTACCCAGTGCAGCCCGCCTGAAGGGGAAGTTTCTGATGGGATTGGAGGGTGATGATGGGCAGGAGTTAGAGGGGACAGAGTGAGTTGTGTTGGAGAAAACCATCCCTCTAGGAAACATGGCTTAAACTTGGGAAGTTTCAGAACTGATATCATCAGGAGGCTCAAGACCCATCTAATACAAGAAAAGCAATATATGTATATCCCAGAAAGGGTTCATGTTAAATTTCCATGCTTACCACGAGGTGAAGACATGACCAGCCTGTGGGGTGGAACAGGGCTCAACAGAATAGCTTCAGCTGGTGATTTAGATGACTAGAACACTTCGTAGGTGGGAGTGGGTATAGGAGCAAACATCAGCACTTGTAGTGACTGGAAGGGAGTGGATAGCTATTTGTAAAGTCAATGTCTAGGCCACCTGGGACGCTAACATGTGCACAGGCATGGGAATCTCTGTAAGCCCACTTGTGAGGGCAAATAGCACTCTTGGGCAAAAAGTGCACATTTTAGACAGTGTAATGGTGAAATATCAGATGGTAGCTCCTCTACTATAATAAGTATGAGCCAAGGTACATGAAAGTATTGGGTCCTGGATCCAAACTCGGATATGGAGTAACTTAGAGGATCAGGAAGATGCACAGAGAAGGCAAAAGGTCATGAATAAGAACTGTAGGTGCTGAGAATGTCTTTATTTGTAAAAAATAAACAAACAAAAAAGAGCTAAGAAATGTGCTACCAACTGTCTTGAAGAATATGAAAGATTATTAAGCTCCATTTCAAGGAAGATCTAAACAGGGCCAAAAATGGTACCATGTCTAGATTCAATCAGAATTTGACCAACAGGGCAAAAACCAAAACAAGTCTTCAGGGAAGCTGTGAAGCATGCACCCTTGAGAGAATATTTAAAAAATAGGCCCCCATCATCATTGAATGTCGTCTCTACCACCAACTATTGATGGAAAGAACAGGCCCTTTGCACCAAACCTCAAGTTTGATCATGATTTCTGAATCAAGAGTGATTCATGATCATTAACAAAATGAAGCTGTTATTGTAGTTTATCCATGAAATGTCCTCTAAGTTATGTATCATTTTTCTTCTGATTTTTACCTAAGGACCTCAGAATATACTCAAACAGTAATGAGCTAAACTTCGGAATAGACAGACTTCTCATATTACAACTGGAGATAGAAAACAAAACAGTAAGCGATTTGCCCAAGTCTCTTAGGAATTAGTTATGCCCCTGAGAGGGTAGAGGAGAGTAGGTGGGGAAAACCTACCATTTATTCCCAGTTCGAACGTATAATTCCCCTTAAATAACCAATGGAACTATTTTCACATTGGACACACCCCAAAGGCAATCAAACCAGAGCATTTAGAAGCAACAGACTAGTATAAAATTCTAAAGTCATGGCCAATGTGGTCTTAATTTTCAGTCAGGGTATGGAGATATGATCAGAGAAAGAGGTAATTATAACAGAGATGGCTGTATTCAGAAAGCAACACATGGAAAAGCTGGCATAGTCATTCTTTTGCTAAAGCATTTGTTACCCTGAAGCACATACGAAAACCTTGACCTTTAGAATATTTACATATCTAATGAGGATTACAGACAAAGTAAAAACAACATTCTGTATACAAAGAATATTTTAGCAGTGGCCAGTTGCTTTGAAATAACTTCAAATAATTTCTGGTTATTTCTCAAGTAAGATTTGGCAAATTATATCCACCCCATGGCTAAAGTATGTTGGCCCTTAAGAATGGTTTCTACATTTATAAAGGGGGCATAAAAACAGAGAAAAAAAGGGCTGCGGATTTGGCTCAGTGGTTTTGCCACTTGCCTCTCAAGGGCCTTTTAATCCCCAGTACCAAAAAAAAAAAAACCACCACCACAACAAAAAAACAGAGAAAAATAAGAAACAAAGAAAAATATGTTAAAAAGATCACAGGTAGCCCACAAAACTAGATTTACTGTCTGGCCCTTTAGCAAAAAGTTTGCTGAGTTTTGATACAGAGGAACAAGATTCTATTAAAATGAATTTCTTCCATTTCAACCTATACTCAACTATTAAGCTTTCAAGAAGCAACCCCAGACATGAAACTGGTTAGCATCATTTTTCTTGGGTTTATTATAAACAAATATATTAAAATGAAAAAACTAAGTGATTCTGGGAAATGTTGCTCTAAAATACAGCAGGAGGCCTGGCAGTAGAGGAACAACCATTCAATCACAGCCTCAAGGTCAACAGGAATCAATGTATCACAGAAGCAGGTACAGAAAACAGTCTTAATGTTGCTTTGTTCCTCATATTTTGTGTGATATGGGACTAGGAAGACTCTAGTCTTAATGTGTCAGAGAACACCCTAAGTCCTCTTTCTTCTTTAGAAAATGAATGTTATTTTAAAAATGAACTCGAACTTCTTAAAACCAGGGATTGGACTATAGAAAGATCAGGTAGGCAGTGTTCCTCAATGGGTAATGAGGAATAGGCTTACATGAAGAGATAGTACCATTCAATTTTGAGAATCCAGAATGTCAAAAACCCAAGTTTTCCTTTTAAAGATTATAGTTCGTTCATTCCCTCTTCAAATATTTCCTTACTTCCTGAGCCAGAGTCAGCATGCACCTTCATTAAGAGGACTACTACAAACTGACCTGTTGCTAACACCATGAAGAAAAATGGAAAATACAAAATGAGAGGTTTTATTTCTCTCATCTTGAAGGAGATGGGATCCCTGAGACATTCTCAAACTTTGGGTGCTTTCAGGACACAGGGCCCTGCTAAATTACTCACAGATATTTCCTTCTCTGAGAAGTACAGAAACCTAGGATGTGGTATTGTTATTTTTTTTAATGATAAACATTTACCTCCAGCCAAATGTCAGCTGTATCATGCACAATCATCACAAGGGTCCCACTGCGAATATAATTAGCACACCAAGAGAAGCTCATCAAACTAAGTGCAGCCAGGTGGTGAACAACATGAGCTACATAATCCTATATAACAAGAGAAAAATGGAGGCCATTAAACAAATGCAGTTATTTTCCAATCACTGGAGGAATTAATAATAATAATAATAATACCAATAACTTATGCCTGCATGCTTTGAAATTTATAAAATTCTTTCACTTTAATTTTAAACATAACCCTAGTGAGGGAGCTAAGTATTATCTTCATCAGTTAAGTCACTTAACTTTAAGACTGCGTTGAAAAATTGTAATTTAACTCCTAACATCTGTTGTTCTTTCCAATGACACACTGTATATATATACACACACACACATGCACACAACAAATATACATACAGGCATATTCTTATACATATTTACATGTACTATTTATTCCTTGCTTAGTTCCAAAAAGAAAGACATGGTATAATAAAATTACTTAACCATTAAAGTAAATTACTGCATATGAAAAAGCAAAATAAAGTTTACTAAACACATTGGAAAATCAAAGTTAAGGAAAACTACCATCATGGAGTAGCACAACGTAAAGATTCTCTGCAAAGAAGATACACAAATAACCAATTAGCACACAAAAAGGTGCTCAACCTCATTAGACAGCAGGAAAATGTAAACGAAAATCACACTGAAATACCATTTCACACTCACTGGAAAAGCTATAAGAAAAATGATGAATAATAACAAGAGTTGGCAAGGATATTGAGAAACTGGAACTCTTGTACACTGTTAGTAGGAGTGTAAAATAATGCAGCTGTTTTATTAAACAGTCTGGTATTTTCTCCAGAAGTTAAGCATAGAATTATCATATGGGCCAGCAATTCCACAGATGAAATGAAAACATAAGTTCACATAAAAACCTGTATACGAATATTCACAGTATTACTCATAATAGCCAAATGGAATAAAGGACCCAAACATCTATGAACTATTAAAAGAATAAACAAAATGAGGTCTATTTGAGGAAAAAAGGACTCAATCAATTAAATTAAAACGTACAGTTAAGCTAAAGTTAATAACAGTTAATCTATAGCTATTATTTAGTTATATGGAAATGGATATCATTTTTATCATATTTTTTTCATAGTATGTTCTTAGATTCTATAAGTTTTCTTTGAAGATGTCCCCTGGGTATAATGTGCCTTTTAGTAATGAGAAACATCCACCACTCAACTCAAATATCATTTAATCAAGCCAATATCATTTTACCAACCTGACTTTGCCTTGGATGTAGCATATGTGGTACAGGCCAAGGTTATTCATCATTTGACCTATTTTGCTAACATATATGAGGAAATCTTGTGACTGTATTCATGGTCTAACATTGGTTGTTGGAAAAGAAAAGAGGCTACCAACCAGTTCCTGAAATGCCTGAATTTTTGACCCGAGAAGGCGTTTAGCATGCCTGTGACTCAGTTTCCCTGCAAACAAAGCAAAGCTCAAAATGCTTGAAGCCAGGATTCCTAGAAAGGATATTTGATAAATTAAGGAAAAAATGCTTTCAAAGTCTTTAAAAACATCAAAAGTATTTAATACAGTGATTTTTCAACAACCAAAAGATGTGGCTATAGAGTGACCATGAATAACACTTTTTTTCTATGCATTAAAAGACACTGAACTCCTAAGATGAAAGAAATAGACAACCTAAAAGGAGATTTCTTTATTTACCGAACAGGGGTAGAACTTCAAAGTCAAAATTTCTATCATGTTTCTCTATAAATATTTACCAAGGGACCAAAGAACAAGCATAATTTGCACTATTCTATGTACTATCAAAAGCAAAAAGATCCATGAAATGAAATTAAATACAGATAAAAATATAATTTAAAGATTAGAGTTTTGGGCAGAGGGATAAAAATATTTGAAGAAATTGATAAAGAAGGTTATAAATAAACTTACCTTCCTCTTGACATCATAGCCAAGGCTAAATATAAGAGACCAATAAAAACTCATTTCTAACATGTAGTACCAGTACTGAGACGGCAGCAAGGGCTGAGGAAAAGAAAAGTATTTGTTACTTTACATGTCTCCTTATAACAGCTTACTTTAGCACACTAAAACTCAACTATTTCTATTCCAAAAAATTCCATAAATAACAATGATTCATATTTCAACTTCCAAAAAGGAACTGGAGATAATATTTCAAGGTGTTTTGTTTCTAAAATGGTAGACAAGTATTCTAAAATCAAGTCAAATGTTTTGTCTGAAAAATTAAAACTGCTAAGCAGCTACCTTATTTTAACTCATGTGGAGTTAAATTAGAAAAACAATTTAAAAATATGTACTTAAGAACAACAGAAAGTCTATTTTGTTGGAACAATAGAGTTTCTACTTTCTTCCATGATAAACAAGCCTGCATGACACTAATCTTAGTGAAAACAACTTAATATTTAGATAAAAGGATGGGGGTATCTGTTTGAGAGAATCATAGAGCAACCCAAGTATCTAGAACCCGAGAAGATCCCAAAGAAAAAAATGCATTAAAATAAACTCTTTATTTCAAGTGAGCCCTTTATTCAACAGATACTACAGACTCTAAGCAGAATAAAGCCAAAGAAAACCATAACTATGCATATCACAAATTCTACATTTGCCGATTTATGAGTGGTATTAAGTCCAGAAACTAAGAAACAGCAGAAGCTAAGCAGATGTTTTAGTTATCTCACATTGCTAGGAAGCAAACTGATGCTCAAGCCAACCAAGGAAAAGGAGTCATAGTAAACACTGTAATCTTTTATTCAAACCTGCTCAAGAAAAACACTAGGATATGAGTAAGCTGGAAATACATTTACCCTCACAACGACTGTGGTCCACAGCAAATCAGCTCAATCATATGTCCAACAGAAAAGAAAATAAATTCCCTCAGAAGGAAGGTAATATCATCCTGACCATCTATATTTTTCATATACAGTATCAGTCATTCAATCAAAATCTATAACACAGATGAAGATAGGAGCAATAAAGTAAACAGATTTAGAGATAATCAAGATTTATTATACCCAGACTTTCCAAAAACTTCAAAAGCTGACTAAAAGATGGAAATTTTCAGTAGAGAACAGTAATCCATTAACAAATTAAATGAAAATTTAAGAGCTGAAAAATACAGTAAGAAGATTGTTTAACACCAGATTAGATTCTGCTAGAGCACTAGTGAAATGGAAGACATAGTAAAGTATAAAATACCTGTAATTTTACTCTACTTGCAAGCTAACAGGTTAGTCTAACACAAGTTTTGTGGATGCTAGTAGAAGACAGGAGAATCCTGGGTCAAAGATAACGGACAAGAAATGGCTCACAGTAGCTGGAGTATCTGTATTTTGGCCAGTTCTCCCATCCCCAATTCCCATAGGGTATCAGATGACAACTATTTGTGCTGTGGATTGTGTTACATGAAAGGAACCCTGAACTAGGGAACTGGCTATAGCACACCTACCTTTTTCTCCAGAGGGAGACATTTAAATCATCTGAGACAGTCTGATATAAAAACAAGCTTCAAAAGATAGTCTAGAACAAAAGGCAGTATCTCTCCTCATTATCTTGTGCATAAATGCAAGAGACTGATAAGAGAATTGTTTCCCAACAGACTGAAGCACAGAGAGGCAAAAGGATGGAAAATATTTTTAAACACGTAAGAGACATATGATGCCTAGCATAAGTTTAGCATATTAGCACACTATAACTGGAATTCTAGAAGAGTGGAGAGAGGAAGAAACAGAGGCAATGGAAATAACTAAAAATTTTCCGAAACTAACTAAAGATATCAAGCCACAATTTCCAGATGTACCATGGATTCTGAACAGGATAAATTCAAAGAAAACTAAATCTTTGTATTCATAATAAAACTGCTGAAAAATAAGCTAAAACATGAACATAAATTAGGAAAAAAGACATTATGTTCAAAGAAGCAAAAATAAAAGTGACAGCTAAATTCTTAAAGAAATGGATGGGATTTAGAAGACAATGGAATAGCATCTTTAAAGTGCTGAAGAAAATAACTACTAACCTAGAATTCTACACCTTGCTAAAAACATTCTTTTAAAAGTAAAGGCAAGGAAGGGATTGGGAGATGATAGCTAGTCAGCAGAATGTTTTGATTTGGGATAACAAAAATGACCTAAATTTGACTGTAGTTGCAGTTCTGCAACTCTGCAAATGTGCTAAAATCTATCAAATCTTATTTTTTAAGTTTGCAAATTTTTAGTTCAATAGTTGTTTTATTAATTTTTTAAAAATAAAGGCAATATGGTAACATTTTCAGCCAAACAAATCCTGACAGACCTGTTGATAAAAAATATCAATTAAAGCTGGGTGTGGTGGCGCACGCCTATAATCCCAGCCCTCGGGAGGCTGAGGAAGGAGGATCGCCGTGAGTTTAAAACCAGCCTGGGCTACATAGAGAGTTCCAGGTCAGTCTCAACTACATAGTGAGACCCTGTCTCAAAAAGCAAAAAACAAAACAAAACAAAAACAATTTAGACTGCTTCAATTGGAAGAGTAATAACTGTGGACTGGAACGCAGAAATGCAGGAAGGAATGAAAAGCAGGGAAGCAGAAACCTGACTGTTACTGGAATGAAAAGCAGGAAGAGCAAAGATTGACAGAACTTTAAACATTTTGAAGGAGGAGGGCATATGGCGTATTCTAATGGCCTCTCATGACTACAAGGAGGAAAAAACACTAATTTGTATTGTACTCTAATTAGTCATGGATGTAATTACATGGTAATTTCTAGGATATCTAATAAATAAAATCAGGCATTAATAAAAAGTCAGTATAAGGAAAATGGAATAGCGATTTTTAAAAAAGTTTTGACTGTCCCATAGAAAAGCTAGAGGGAAATACAAAGAAAATTCATCATTCATCAGGGAGTACAAATAAAAAATAAGCGATATACAGTAGATTTAATTCCAAATATGTACTTCATTAACTGTACACAAATTAAAGGACTGAGACAAATGATGAGTTAATAAGAATTACACAGCCAGTAAGAGAAAGAGCCAGAAGATGGCATGGTGGTTGACAGAGAGCAGGAAGGGGGACTAAAACCCCACTAAGGGATAATTTTAGGGGGCCGATGTTAAAGGAAGGAAGGAGTTATATCAGAGGGGACCTACCTGTCTGGGGTAGCCATTCCAAACCTCCCAGAGGTCAGATGCCCAAGGCTTCTGTAAAAACAAGGACCAACAGAGAAGTTAAATTTGTCAAAGTCAAAGGCTAATTTCAGCAGAAAATATAAACTCTTCTTCAAACAATAATCTCTTGTTTATTGGGTGCAAAGATGCATAGAAAGATTCACTTGTGCATATTTCTATTGCTTCTATTGTACATATTTCTCCTTTTGTAGGTATTTATTCATGATACTATGTAACACCCCTGTGAAATTCACTATGCATCTGGGGTCAGTAAATAGGACTGAATCCTCGAGAAAACTATTTTGAACAGCAAATCTACTAACAAAATTATTTCTGAATCAATTCAATTATTGCACTTTTAAAGGTAAACATATCTTAAGATAGCCATAGCAATAAAATATTTGAAAAAACCTTGAATCCTGAGAGAAATCTCTAAAACTGATTATCTATCAAGAACATATCCTAAAGAAATTCACAGTCAAGAATTTTAAAAATTAAAGACAAATTGCAAAGATATCAAAAAGACAACTTACATCATAAAGAAATGCAATTCCAACAACAGAAAGCATTAAGTAAAATGCAAATCGCCAGCTGCCAAAAGAAAGAAAAGTCTTTATTCCTTTGTAAAGGTTATTGATATCTGAGGAGAGAAAGATTTGGCATGACAAAATTTGGAAGAATACACACTCTGAAGTTAGGTAAATCTAAGTTTACATCCCGGCTTTGCCATTTATTAGATGTCTAGACACTTAGGTAAGTCATTTAACTCCCTCATCTGTAGAATGGGAATAACAAAACTTTCCTCCACATGTAAAAATAATTTAAAATAGTTTTCAAAAGCACTGGTCATAGTTGTATATGAAGTAAGTAAAAACAAATTGTGCTATCACTACTACTACTACTACTACTACTACTACTACTACTCTACTACTATATTGGACCAGTTACTACACATATCATAAATTGTGATTTGATATCAGAATTATCACCAACATAATAAAAAGTGGGAAGGGGAGGGGAAAGGAAATAAGGGAAAATAAAAAATGAAAAAAATGGAAACAAAGTCTTTATAAATAGGGAAGGATGAAGCGGGTGAAGGGAGGGCAGGGTTATGGGAAAAAAATAAGAACCAAGATACATCATGTAAAGGTATAAGGAAACAATGATAAATGTAACTGTATTTATTGTTTGCTTTAAATGTACCGATAAACTTAATGAAAAAAGAAAGAAATCTGACAAATACAACAACTTATTTTATTCTCCTTAAATTCACACCTGGAAGATTTCTGTGTGATCAAACTTTACTCTTTTCTTCTAAAAGCAGAACTTGCAAAAACAAAATTTTTTCTCAAGTATGGGGAAGACCTATAGATGAAGAGACGTCACAGACATATCAACCAATTACAACATATGGGTTTCACTTGATGTTGATTAAATAAACAAACTGGAAATAAAATTATAAGATAATCAAGGAATCTTGAACACATTATTTGTTTTTATCAAACACTTTAGACATCGCAAATTTGTTTTTAAAGAGTCTTTATCTTTTATAGATACATATACTTAGAAATGGAATTGAATTGTATAAGGTCTAATATTTGCTTTAAAAATAATCTGAGGTGGGAGAGAGAAGTGGGTGGGACTGCTGATGACCCAGGATTAGCCTTGAGGTGATCACTGTTAAAGTTGGTGAGAGGTCAATGCATTACATGGTCTTTTTACATTTATCCATGTTTGCAACTTTCCAAAATAAAGTTATTTAAAAAATCATAGCTATTTTAGCTAATGAATGCTGAAGCAAAAATAATAATGTGAAAATAACATTTGTTCCTTTCATTTGTGTAATGGCCTACAGCAGTGGTGGTGCTCTATGGCATGCACGTTATTTGTTTCCTTTTAAGACAAAAGATATTGATGCATGAGTTTTTTTTTCTAAATTAAAATCTCAGTATTCAGGTTTAATTTCAGTGTTGGCACTTTGCAATAAATAAGTGTGTTCTAGGTTGCAGTTTAGGCACTCATTTCCAAAAGGTTTGCTATCTCAGTGTTTTCTTCAATACACCTGTAGGAAAGGTAGGAAATAGGTATATATCCATTTTACAGATGAAAAATTTGGCTCATAATAGTGAGGCCACTTTCCCAGCCCCTGTAACTAAGAAGTAGTAAAGGTGAGACCTAAAGTTCAAGTTCTGTATCCAGTAGTGTTCCCTTAACATCATTACTGCCTCTAAGGTAGACCACATTTTTTTCACGACTTGTATTGATAGAAAAGAAAAGAAAAAAAAAGAAACATTCAATAATTAGCACATTGAACCACAAAAATACTCACAGATGTTTTACAAAATAAAAGTTCAGATCTGTCTGCACTTGTCATATCTGTGCTTGCTACAGAAAGCATTTCCTTGGCTCCCTGGGTTATCTTGTCCAGACAAGAAGCACAAACAGTAGGAAATAAGGTCACCTAGGTCATAAATGCAGCAGAAGTCTGATTTGTTTCTCAAACATTTATTGACATCTTGACTGTGTGCCAAGCATGTGTTATCACATTTTTATCGAGATGTTAACATTTTAATAAGATTATGAAGTTGATACTAAAATTATCCTGACTGTCTCCTGATTCTTACAAAGTAGATAAGATAAATAATAAAGAAAACTGGTACATGGAGAGCTCACATAACTCACAAAAGGTTGTAGAGCATAACTGGATGCAAGAGTACAACCCATGTTTCATATTTTTCTACACTGGTCCAACTTAGCATTCATTATGCTACACCAGTGGTTTGGAAAGTATGTTTCAGGGATCCCTGAGGTCAGAAGATTTTTATAATAGCAGAAAAACATTACTTTCTCTCCCCTCTCATTCTCTCACAAGCATACAGCAGCAAACTGCAGAGGTCATATGACATATAACTGGGTCATTGCTCTGAAGAAAGTGCACAATGGAAAGTGCTCATATAGTGTCTCGTGTTTTATAGATGTCTCAGATTCCATATCTAACACAGTAACTATCAACAGGTATAAATTAAAGTTCTTTGGGATTTTCAGGAGTTTGTAAGAGAACAAAGACTCCTGAGGCCAAAAAGTCAGAGAACTGCTGCATTTCAGTGATAATAACAGGAATGATTATGTCAACATTATTTCACTTGCATCAAATGAACCTAAGATAGCAATGGACCAGGATTTTTAAAAAGATGGAAAAACAAGTTTCTCCAACCTAAGCAATTCCTCCTTAGATCCCCTCCCTATGACTGTTGTTCTTTGTTGTAACTTTGTCCCTATAAGTAAGGTTTCACAACCTCCTGTTCTCATAAGATTCTGCTTTTACCCAACCAAAGCCACCAAGATATGCTGTCACAAAACTGTCACAGCTTGACTGCCGGCCTTTGTTGTGCTTCTGTCCCCAAGTTTCATGCTGTTAGGTAGACCAACCCCCTCCCCCAGCATATGCAAAACTAGAGCCCTTCCTTTGTTCTGGGCTTAGCCTTTGGTCATGGGTCACCAGAGCCAGCACACACCTAAATAAATCCTCCTGTTTGACCTGTTGGCCTCTCTAATCTCTTAAATTCTACAACAGTAAAACTTCCTTTTTTACCTCAGGAAAGGGTGAAATAAACATAAATGTGGGAAGAGGAGTTAAACAAATTCAGAAATTGATTCATTAGGCAAATGAACCCTGCAAATGCAGCGTAAGATTGCAAAGGAAATGGGTAGAGTAAACTTGGTCCAATGATGAGAGAAGGTGGTAGGGCCATAGATGGGGTCCATAGCAGAAGAGCAGAATGGAGCAACAGTGAACCTGCATCCTGGGGCTAGAACATTCCCCCTCCACCCACCTAAATTTGGGCAACTGCCAAGGCCAATCCTCCTTCCGTTCTTCTAAGAGAAGCAAAAATAAAATAACAAAGACCCAGAAAAATCTCTGAAGCTCCAGGCCAGAGTACATGAGTTTTAGATCTTGTGATTTGACCTTCAATAACCTTTACCCCTACTCAAATCTTGCAAAGGTTCATATATATGAACTGTGTCTCATGTATGTAATTTAATCAGAGTGAACATATACATACATATATATATATATATATATATGATTGTCCCA